TTGTTATTTTTATATTAAATAGAAAAAAAAATATTTTAAAAGTCCTGTGTATTTTGTGTTAAARAGGAAATATTAATTTACAAAGTTACTTATTTAATATTATGTTAAATTTGTTTGCTGTGCGTAATTTGTGAGAAATAAACATTTTACTTATATAAATAAATTATTATAAGAATGAGCCGGCCATAATGCTTTGATTAAATTAAATAAAAATACACTATTGTATAACAATACAGCGTTACATCATAATCCATTTAGATTTTAATATTCTAAACAAAACAACAGAAGTTCATTTGAAAATAGATAATGGACTATCCCAGTGGGATTTGTGGACCAAATGAGAATATCCATTATTTCTTTCTAAATTACATAGAAACGTTATCAAAGGCATTATAGTCAGTACCTATTTAACATTATCATATTGGACCTTATTTTAGCGTAAACCGTAGCCCTTGAAAGTTACCCGCATTTGACGCCCCGTGAATACATTTGTTAAGCGGAGATCTTTATTGAACTTCAATCATTTATGATTACCGACGTTTATTTTCTTACTAGGATCAAAGTATAAAGATATAAATATTTTAACTTTTCAGATTCACAATATGTTTATAGGCTAATAAAAAAAAATAAAAATACTAATATAGATAATTTACCAAATAAATATTTATGAACAGTGATTTACGGTTTTAATATACATTWTTAAGGATAATTTAAAATATTCAAAGCACATTTTTTTATAAATAACTTCAAAAACAAAGTGCTAATAAGTAAACAATTCATGAATAATTTTTTTTCAAAATCGTCATTAAACTATAGTTTACTATGAAACGAAGAAATATATAATATAAATTGTATTCTAGCTCTGCGTATTTTCAAAACTTATTAAAAATGCCATTGTGTAKAAAGAAAGAGGACCAATGCGTTGAATAATTGCATTACATTCTTATATTAACCTAACAAAGAAACCTTTATTTGAAATTTATACGAAATAAATAAAATACATAGAAACAGTTGACAGAATTTGTTTAAAAAAAACCACAATAGCAAAATAGTTTTATTTTCTAAACATTTTTCTTAACATTTAAATGTGTAGGAGTCCAGATACATGGAGCACGTAGTACTTAATAACCTGTGTTTKCTTGAGCTCAACTACCTACTTACAATAGATAAAATGATTAAAATATAATTAGAATATTATGATATTTAAAAATATTAAAGTTAAATATTATGAGTATGTTTTATGTAGGTAAGATGAGTATTTGAATATTCTAGTATCTAAGTCAAATTTTATATAGACTTTTTTTTTGTATTTATGTTCAATAGGTTAATTCAAAATATTATATTATGAGTAACGATAGTTACTCCTAAAATATATTTTATAATTGTTAATGTACTATTAATATCACCTTAACTTTTATCAATAGTATACTTTAAATAAAATTTSATCATAGCATATTTTTATTTTATAATAATATATAAATACCGATTTAATAATAATCTATTTTTAAGCTTTAAAAATGATGACTAGCTAATTTACTCATGATTTATCGTTAAAAGCCATTTATAAAACACGATATTCACCATCAATACTGRAATACATTTTTCTCTTTATATTTAAAAATAGTTTAATCAGCATAAACGTTAGCATAAAGTTAACTATTATAGTATTATGTACTTACACGAGACATCGTTTTGCTCTGCTAAGCGTGTGAAAAACAAAGATAAGAAATGTAAATGTTGGGATCGTTTCAGTTAAACTACCGTCATAAATGTTTTCAGTGAACCATTTGAATTTGATGATAATTTGAGTTTGCAAACACTAAACACTCGTTATAATATGTAAACGTAAGTATGCATCATATTACCTCCGACCCAACCTTGACGATATTTTTTCRAATTAATTGCTGTTGTTCGATATTTTGGTGTGTATAGCCGTGCAGGGTTTTTTATATATTATATTTTTTAAAGCATAACAAATGTCYGCAAAAATATAATTGAAAGATTACTATCTTAAAAGATGAGCGGTAGAATATTCAACTTCTTGGTTTTAAAATAACATACCTAGTAAAAATACTAGACGCT